CTCCCACTCCTTTTGGTTCAGATCTGGTTCAGTTTATAGTTCAAGATTGATCCTTGAAAATATGATTTTCTAAATAGGGAATACAATTCCCAGTTGAAGGGAGAGAAAAATTTTTGAAATTCGCCCCTTATTCCGCAATCTTTGGGCGTCCATAGGATGGATCTCTCGGTCCCTTCAATACCCACCACCCTGTTGTAGACTGACATGAATCAGGACACCCTACCCAATTGACATCAAAGTATGCACGGAGATGGATCAAAGATAAAGAAGGGAAAAGCAATCCAAGATAAAGAGTCCCACAAAGATATTGAATAATATGGTGAGCCACAGTGAGATGATGCCTAGCTGCAAATATAAACTAGCATACTTGAACAACATGAGCAATGTCCAGGTGGATCACAATGAGATAAATAAGACTCCCAACTAGCTTATGACACATAATAGGAACTTGTAGGGGCTCACCTTCATCACGAGATAATTTCACATTAAGTTTCCATAGGAGTGTCAACCCACATGGAGTCAATGATGTAAGCTAGTTGAATTAAATTTGTAGTATATTTTCTTTGATTCACAAAATGACCCCTCAAAGAAGATTGCACCTCCAAACCAAAAAAAAAGTCATAGTACCTACATCCTTCATCTTGAAGGTACGTTGGAGCAATAACTTAAGTTGTTGAATTCCTTCAAGATCAAATGCTATGAAAGAATATCATCAACATAGACAAGCAAAATGTTGAGACCACAATCACCATAAGAAAAGTAAAGAGACGAACCATAGAGACTCTAATGATAACCAACTTCTAGAAGAGCATGATGAAAACGCTCAAACCAGGTACAAGGAGCTTGCTTCAATCCATATAGTGGTTTCTTGAGACAACATACCAAATGTTGGTTAGTATAGCATCCAGGTGGAGGTTTCATGTAAACAATTTCCCTTAAGGTACCATGAAGAAATGCATTAGTGACATCCATTTAAAAAACTAACCATTCACAAATAGTAGATAATGCAAGAACTAGGCTGACCGTTATCATTTTGACAATAAGAGCAAAGGTTTCTTCATAATCAACCCCTTACATTCTAGTTTAACAGACGATACCCATTTACTACCAATAGTTGAGCATCATTAGGAGGAAGAAAAACCATCTCCCATGTGTCATTCTCAATCAAGGCACACATCTTAGTATCCATAGATTCCTTCCAATAAGGTATTGGAGGGGTATTCAGAGATGGAAGTGCTGCTAGCCAGCCCTGTTTTCAGGTCCAATTGAGCAAGGAGATTCGGTAAGAGCAGAATTCTTAGCAGCAATTTTTGGGGTGGAAAAAGCCAAAGAAATGGATATTGGTAGGTTGATCATTGAAGGTGACTCAAAGATTGTAGTAGATTGGCTGAGAAAAGGCGAAGGTGTGATTTGGCAACTCAAAAATGAATTCAGGCACTTCAAATTGCTCTGAATATTCAAGCAAGATGGATTAGAAGATCTGCTGACAGCTTGGCAGACAGTCTTGCTAAGCAAGGGGTTCAAAAACAAAATTTGTTTTGGGTGCAATTGTAACACTTATGGGTGGGGCTAGTCTTGTTCTGGACTGTTTTTCACAAGTTCTTGTTGTATTTTCTCTCTCTCTTCTTTAATAATTTTTTGTTCTTTGTGTTGCTGAACAAAAAACATGTTTTGTTCCTATAATTGAAAAAAATAAAGAAAAAAATAAAACAAAACTCCTATGATAAGCATTGTTAGTAGAAGTTCACTGAAGCTAGGGGATATTGACTCCATTATCAGTTGAGTCAAGGGAAGCTTAAGTGATTTTCCCTTTATTAGGAAACAGAATTTAAATTCTCTTAAAAAACAATAATAACCAAAGGAGCATGGAGGAGAAGGAGCAGGATTTCTTTTTTCTCTTTATACAGGAGAAGTACCAGGTGAAACAAAACATTTCTAATCAATAGATGCACAAAAGCAAGGAAAATAAGGGACATGGCAGAATGAGGCTCGGAGTTCTAGAAGACACACAAAATGTAATATTTGAACTCACATGAGATGATGAAGGCAACATTGTGATAACAACATCACTTGCTTCTGCAACTTCAAAAGGCGTCTCTTTGGCAACAACTCCCTTTTCTAGGAATTTTTTCATGGCATCACGGTTTCTGCAAAACCATTCAGACTCCCAACTTTCTTTAACAATAGATAAATGCAAAAGTAAACATATTGTCATCTACGAATTGCATACTAAATCAAAGTTGAAATTTTAAACAATCATGAACAAAATGCTCAGTTCACCTCTAAGTATACAGTTCGACCCCAAGTTAATATGATCAAGAGATTACACTCCAATATTTTTTTTCTAACCAAAATTTATAAGCTTTCAATATGGTTCAAAGAAGACCAAATAATCGATTGTAGTTAAAACAATTTGAGGATAGAATATAAACACATTACTTGTCATGGACGGCAACTTTGTATCCGGCATTAACTAGATTATTTGCCATATGAAAACCCATATTTCCAACTCCTATAAATCCAACCCTCTGCGGTTTATCAATGAAAATGAAACTATAAGCAAATTCCTCACAGAAAATAAGATCATACACGCATAACAAATAAAATAAAAGCAATCCCACATAAAAGATCCCAAACTTATCGCTAAAAGAACACATAAACAATGGTCTTGTTTCCAAATATTCAGTCAATAGTTAACATCCCAAAGAACTGATTAAGTGATTATGCATTCATTGAGCTTAACTAGAGCCAATTCCTCCAAAGCCAAATGCAGAAGAAACAAAAACTAAGGCCTGGAGTGTACCATAGTGATTACTTATTAGAACCAGAACAGTAGAACAATGAAAAATGGAAGAACGAAAGAAAGATCACCTCCAACTCGGATGGGACGTTGCAGGAAGAGAGCCTTCGGACAAAAGGTGAAAGAAGTGTCCATTCGCACTTGGAAATAGCTTGGAGGACTCTCCCTCTGCAGGTCGCCATTGATGTCTAGTGCCTAGTGAGTAGACTGGCTTATACTCCGACAAAAAAAAAAGAAGTAAATGAAATCATACTATTCTTTCGGGGTGTATATGTATTTCACTTTTAACACCGTGTGATGAGTACTAATTAATTACTAATTAGGGATAAAGGCCCCCTGTTTTCCGCCAATTTGTCCAATTAACGAAGTTGACGAGATCACTGGCTGAATTCATTTTCTTCTTTACCCTTCTAAATTTTTTGTATTTTTTTAAATTTTTAAAAAGATAAAAAGAGGCAAAACCCATCTTGCATCCGGTGCATGTGCAGAACTGCAGCAGATATTTGTTTCAACGTTTTTTGTGATATATTAATTAATGAAAAGTAAGATGTCTTTTAGCGTGATTGGTTTTCCTATAAAAAAATAAAATAATTGGTTATGATCGGGATTTAACATGCAGCCAATATCGAATGAACCACTTGATCTCTAAAAATATTTTTAAGAAAGTAATAACTAATAACTCATTGTCATGAATTCGTAATCGGTGAGGTAACCGATACGATATAATGCAATATACCCGTTATGGGTCGTATCGTATTGAAAATTTGATCTTTGGTGACTATAAGGGAGAACAAAAAAAACAATAGAGGGACACTTTCCTATCCYAGAAGCTACAAAGGCAGTTATAATTCATTGAATTCATAATGGGTAAGTAATTTAGGGTTTCACCATGTGTCCATGAAAACCTCTTTAGGATGAAGAACCTTTGTCTTTAGAGTTATCACATGAGCACGTTTATAGCTACAACCATTTTGAGAACTCTCTTGTAGTCACGTGKGACGACGTTCATTTGCATAAGCATCTAAGGGTTAATATGCCATATTGCAGATAAACTATCATCATTGTTGTATTAGGCGATGTCTTAGCGTCATCATGTAATGCTTTGTCAAGGGATTTGGCGAATGTAATAGCACATCAACCATTGGCTGCATTGCGATGTTTATTATCATTATTGCAGTGTGCCTCTTCGCAGTTATTTCTTCTAAATGACATCTCTGTTGATAAGGGGATCAACAGGCTCATTGCAAAGCGTCATCGCAGGTCTAATGTGGTTTAGGGAATCATGTGGTCTAGGGGAGCCATGCCCCCCCCCCTCCCCTATTGTCCAGAATTCTCCACTTGGAATACAGTTTTCTATGTAAAGTTCCCCCCTTCCAAACTCCCCACCCCAATGGTTGCCCCCCCNTTGGAAATAAAGGTTTCCATGTAAATTTCCCCCCTCCCAAACTCTCCACCCCAATGGTTGCCCCCCCCTATGGGCCCATCCATACTTATTCCCCCCTCCCCCATTCCAGTTTAGGTTTTGGCCCCCCTCATAAAAAATTCTCTCTCTGCCCTTGATTTCAACTACTTGTAGTGTGGTTTGTATTAATTTTGGTGAACATAGTCTTCACCGCAAGGTTTGTGGTGGTCACCGTTGCATTATTATGACCCTCATCATAGGTTTTGTGATTGTTATCTACTTACAAATTTAAATATTTATTAATTATTTTTTCATTTTTAAGTTAGTATTTATCTATTAATTATCTTAGAAAATTTATTTAATATAATTATTAAATACAAAAATTAATAATAAGATTAGATGTCTAATAATATTAAAAATAAATAAGCAATTCTTTAGTTACTTCAACCCTAAGCAAATATTCTACATTATTAATAACTATCTTCAAATTTAATTTTATATTAATATAATACTATATGAAGGGATTTGCGGATATGTCAATAAAAAAGTATAAACCATTGAAAGTTATAGTCTATATTTTTTGAATTCTAATATCATAGGCTAGAACAATGAATTGAAAGAAACGATTAGCATAGCATTAATGGTAGAGACGGGAATTTTCTCTTGGGGACCAAGAGATGAAGGAGAACGGAAAATGTAGAACAGGTGATTTTTTTTATAGTGTACCTATGGGAAGTATTGTCCATCTCAAATTCAATCCAAAAGGTTTGGTTTGAACTTCCTCTTAAGATTAGGGTTGAAGAATAAAGTGAACAAATTTATTCCAATTTGAGCCCAACCTAAAAATATGGGCTCAGTTTGGAAAGAGTACAAATACAAATTTGTAGAGTGCAAAACCTTGTATTTTGTATATATTTGCATTGTACATATTTATATTTGTACTCCTTCAAAACTGAGCCATGAGATTTAGTGACAGTAAGCCAGTGACGTTCACAAATGTTTGTCACTATATTTACATATTCAGGAACGATCTATTGTGGGTATTACTAATTGTAGACCTTTTAGTTACGCTCATCAATGAGTGTCACTATGTAACTTAGTACCGTCACTTTATTTTCAGGATTAGTGACTTTTTACCTAGGCAAACCACTAAATTTAAAAATGTTAGTGACATATTATTTAAGCGTCTCAGTTGACCTTGAGAGTGTTATTTAAAACTTTTTTTTTTTGTTATAAACAATCTTTAACCGTCATTATAGCCTATAGGGTAAAACCCTCTTAAACAATTTAGATAAAACTTAAAATTTTCAACTAAGAGTGGAACTTTGAGCGGACCCAACCTAGCCAATAATTTTACATAGGTTAGGCTTAGAATTTTTGTACTTTATTAGGGTGTGGGCCCAAATGTTTGGGCTTTTTTATTTTTTGGGTTGGTTTTGAGCCTAGTTCTTAGGTAGCTTGAACTTGTTACAAACCTGGTCCAACCTTAATTATTATAACCTAAGGCCTAGCCCAACCATATATAGATGCATATATAAGCATATATTTGTATTTATATATAAAAAACATACATTTAATAATGTCAAATTTTAGTGTGGGTTGATTAACTAATTCAAGCTTGACCTGAGCATGAGCCCGGGCCCAACCTGAGTGCATTGAATTTCAATATGGTTGGGCCTAGGTTTGACAAATTGGGCTTGGCCTTGGGCTTGCTCTATGCTTGGGACTTAGGCCCAATACATAGGGTTGGGCCTAGGGTTGAGCTTAAACCCAACCTAGCCACTCTCAACTTGCACCCCTATTTTTCCTCTCACCTTTAACCTGTGTTGTTGAATCATTGAATCACCATCCAATCCTTTGCAAGTAAATCCAAAACCTAGAAATATGGTTAGAAATAGTTGACTTGGTCAAAAAATCATTTAGATTTGAGGCTATGTGGTGCCTCAGGAGGTTGTGAATTAATCATGGCAATCAAATTATATGGGATCCAAGGCAATGCAATTCGTAAAGAAAAGAAACAATCTAGCTAATAACTCAAAGAGTGGAGCAGAGTGCACTTTGGAAACATATTTAAAAAGAAACAAGACATCTTGTGTTCTCTTGACAGAGTTCAAAAAAATCTGGCTAAAAATGGTACCAATAGATCTCAAATTAATCTTGAAGCTGCCTTGCAAAAACAGCTTAATAAGTTGCTTCTCAAGGAAGAGGCCTATTGGGCCCAAAAATCTAGAGTTAACTGGATCAATTTGGGAGATAAGAATAACAAATCCTTCCACTTAACTTCTATAATTAGAAAAGCCATAAATAGAATCACTGTTATAAAAGATGACCAAGGGGAAAAGCTTTAGGATGACATAAGTATATCCAATCACTTCTATGAGGAATTTAAGAAAAGATTCCAATCAGAGGGAACTAGAGGGGCGAATGAGTTCATTGTCAATATTAGTAGGTGTGTCACTAAAGAGCAAAACAAATGTATCATTAGAGAAGTCACTGAATCTGAAAATTTCAAAGCTCTTCAGAGCATTGGGGACTTCAAAGCTGTTGGCCCAGATGGGCTTAATGCTATGTTTTATAAAAAAATCTGGGAAACTGTCAAAGAGTCTTGGGTTGTAAAAGCCTTCTTTCACTCAGGAAAATTATGTCCTATTCTAAATAAAACATTTATTATTCTGATCCCAAAAGTTGATAATCCTAAGTTTGTAAATAACTATAGACCCATAAGCCTTGTAATGTTATTTATAAGGTCATTATTAAGATTTTGGTGAATAGAATCGAGCCTTTCTTGAAAGATTTGATTTTTCCCTCTCAGAGTGCCTTTGTCCCAAATAGGCAAATTAATAACAACATCTTAATTGCCCATGAAATGATGCACACTATGAGGATAAAGAAGGGAAAGAAAAGTATAATGGCCTGTAAAATTGACATGAAAAAAACCTATGATAAAATAGAATGGGATTTCTTAGAGAAAGTTTGAAAAAATTTGGTTTTGATGAAAGATGAATTGGGTGGACTATGAAGTGTGTTAAAACTATTTCTTTCCAGAAATGATTGAAGCATCAAACCCCAAAGCATCTGAGTGATTTGTCCAATAATATGGACCAATAGTTTTAAGCTCTCTTATTTGGACAATTTGTTAAACAGTTTTACCTAAGTCATGGATTGCACTGATACAAAATATTAATCATTTTCCTGGTTGTATTTTTTGGTGAACTTCTTTGTTGATCATTTTCAAGTAATGGATCCAGAGTACATGGCTACAGCTTTTGGATTTAGACGCATTTGATCAAATTTTTACATGTTGACTGTATAATTAAGCAATTTGGAAATACTAATATATATTGAACACATGGCTGCATGTAAATTACACTTGAAATGTAGTTATCTTTCATAATAAATTTTAATAAAAAATTATGTGCAAAGGAATGAATTAGAGGTTTCATTAATTTAAATTAAATGATCAATACCATAAACAAAATCCAATATAAAAAAATACATAAGCAGCGGTTACCTTGGTCTATGCTGGTGGCTATGGTTGCCGCTATAGACCACCTTTTTTTTTGTAATTTCCTGAACCTTTACACTGACGCTCCTGAACCATCACTATAAGTTCTCGGAACTATAGGCATGTATTAGTGACGTTTTAGTTTGAAGCATGGTTTTAAGAAATGATCCGGAAATGGAATCGTTTTGACCACCGGTTTTTAGGTTGATGGTTTGATCGTCCAGTTTAAATGGATGACTCGTTYTAACAAAAAAATTAAAAAATAATAAAAATAAAAAGCGGCTAATAACTAATGAACGGATCGACGGATTGATGATTTGACCACCTGGGTCAA